CATTTTATCAGAGTATAGATGATTTGTTTTGTAGAATATTCATTGGTTACTCTATTTTATAAATTGTTCTGTGGGTTTCTTAGTCTGCTTTGTTACTACAGGAGGTTTCATGGTGCAAAGGGTATTTCATGATAAAAGTGTCATATGGCACTGTCAAGACTTTAATGGTGTGCAGTGTGTAAATATACGAACAAAAAAAAGGAAAATGGAAGTTTCATTTATATTCTCGGATAAAGTTCAGGTTAAAGTCTGGTTTTCAGGGTTCTACCTTCATAAAATACTGATTTTGTGTTTTATGAATCCCAAGAATTTAGCAAAAGGCTCTTCAAATGGCTGGAAAATGCATACTTCTGAGTAGATTTTCTACAAAATTTCCCAGGGGATTATATCTCTAGACCCCCCTAGAACTGCTTCACTCTGCAGCTGCTTGTTAACATGAATATGTCTCTTTTGCTGTCAGCAAATGTTGGCAGGTATGATGTAGACTTCTGGTATTCTGTTTCTAATTAACTAAAGACAAAACTATTTAATTCAGTATGGGAATTGATGTAAATTTGGGATGAGATTTACAGAATTGCCTCTTGAAATATTGCCTGGTGCGCCGAATTGGCCAGGGTCGGCCCTGCATGCGTGATTTGTATTTTTATTATCAAACTTTGATTCTTACTGCCTGGTGCAACCTACTGGCAAGGGTTTTAAATACTACATAAGCAGAAGCAAAGACTGTAGATTGGACCCAGGATTGAAGTAGCAATCACCCATYAATCAATAATAAATGCTTTTGAGCTCCACAAGAACACAAACAACACATCAAATTCTCACAAAAAGGCTTGYAGAGCTGAGTTTACTGCCCTTTAAGATTACACCCCATTCATAAATCTCTCAAACCCCATTTGGTGGAAACACAGCAGGACAAATTAAAACACATAATAACCTCAACAATCATTATCACATATATCACCCCCTGCTCCTACCTGGCAATGACAAAGAGAACGCAGCTGACCCCAGTGCAGGCTAACAGCACGTACATCCAGATGTCCGGAGACAAAGGGTTTAAGAAGGAGAACACACCTGGATTGGTACCATTTGGTTTCCGGTACAGGATGCTGATACCTAAAGTCATGAAGGGCTTGGAGAAGTCGATCACTTTCTCCCGAACGTACGTGATGGTCAGAGGAGCCACAGCAAGGTCTGCAACCTGACACAGATATGGATTTGCTTTTTTTAATATTGGGAAATAAGCTGTTAAAACAGAAGCATGTTTTTGGGTAAATAGCAAAGAAAACAGAACTGAACAGATCTTCAGGGATTTTATCTGCAAACAGGTGGTTACAGTCTCAGTAAACATCTTGGTCCTTGATTATCTGTCGTTACCAGCTCATAATTTGATGTTTTGATTGTGTTTGTTCTGTCGGAACTCATCAGAGCTGAGAAAAGAATCAGTTTCTGATTACAGAATAATTATAATTAAAAAAACCCGCTGTTTCCACAGAATTCACTACAACTTTTCACTCACATGATCGATCARCTCTCGGACCATTCCGTTCCACTCTCCCTTGTCGTTCTGGGCTCCATATTTACCATCACCGACCAGTCGGACTTCATACGTGAAACCCAAGATGTTGGAGAGTTCTTTTAAAAGGTCCATGCARTATCCCTCATAGCGATCATTTCCAACCAGCTCCTTCTCTGACTTTTTGGCCATCACATATGGATTTTCCTGCATAGAAAAAAAAAGATCTTGAATGAATTTTTTTTATTCATCTGTATTATCTAACCCACATGTGTCAAACTC